CCCAACCGAAAGACAGCCGCGACAGATGGTATTTGTCCTATGTGCAGGTCTGAGGAGGAAACTGTTATCCATGTTGTGTGATCCTGTCCTCGAGCGCAAGAGGTCTTGCACATAGATGCCTTTCCTGCTCAAGTGTATCTTAGCTCCTTAGACGACCCCATCTCTTAGTTGGAGGAAACTTATGACATTATTGGAGTTGATCAGTTTGCTTGTTTCCTAGCTCTTATTTGGAATATTTGGAATGGTCGTAACAGTCTTGTTCATAGTGACAGATTACAGGCTCCTTGGATTTTGGTGATGAACGCTAAACTCTTACACCAGGAATACTTGGATGCTTCTTCTAAGGTAAACTCTTATTCGAATTATATCCACTTCAACACTAAAACGAATTCATTTGTACAAAAGTGATCAAAATCAATTATGATGGTGCCTTTGATGCCACTCATCAAACTTCTGCTGTCTGAGTTATTACTAGATATCATGATGGGAACGTTCTTGGTGGCATGACACAACCTTCCATTGGTTGCTGTGAATCTGGTCTTGCTGAGATTCTTGCTTTGTCAGCTGCCATTCGCCTTGCTTGCGAAATCATGGCTAGGAGTTTGTCCACTTTGAGACTGATTCGACTGTCCTAGTGACTAAGATAACTAGACAAAATGAAGACATATATTCTTGCTTTTCATCTTTAGGAGGCGTGATGTCTCTTCCAAGCTCACTCTGGCTTCCATATTTCTTACGTTAACAGAGATTGTAATATTGTTGCCCTTACTCTTGTCAGTTGGACTCTTAGAATTTATGGTGCTCTTTCTATATATATTCATTAATAATTACTCTCTATTTAGCAAATAAAAACAAAAGAAATTATCTATTTGAAAATTTTCTTTAACAACATTCAAAACATTTAACTAAAACAATTTTGCAACTCAACAAAATATTTAGCTGTCAACATTTTAATCTAAAATAACTTTAATTAAAAATAATAATCACTGAAATTATTAGACAAAATTGACCATAAAAATAAAATAATTTAACAAAAAAGTTTATACTAAAATTAAGATAAAAATTACTGATAAATACTCCAAAAACCTCAAATCCTTCTCTCTCTCTTTTTTAACCAAGTGCTTCAAATTTGGTTGTTTCTTTTGCACCAAAGTCTTCAACTCTTATTTTTTCAAACCAAAATGATGCTAAATTTTATCTATCTACGAGACATTTTAGTTTTTTTGAAAAGTGATTTTGAAAAATGTTGTAAAAAATATTTTTAAAAGTATTTTTGAAAATTGTAATTTAGAATTTAATTATTTGAGATTGTTGTTAAAAAGTGATTTTAAAAAGATAAAATATTCATTTTAGACGTTATTTTATAAATTCAAATTAAAGGTAAAATATACAAAAAGGCCCCCGATTATAAGATATTATTTTATTGAGTCATTTGACTATTAAAAGTCATAAAATGATCTCCCTATTATAAGGAGATATTTTGTTAAGTCCATCGACTATTAAAAGTTACAAAATAATTACTAGATTATTCATTATGTTCCAAACTTGTCTTCATGTTGTTTAATTACGTGATTCACAATTGAAATAGTATCTCCTTTAATTATCACGTGGTCTCAACCGTTCTCAATCACCATGCGAAGGTTCGATAAATACTTATTAACTAGTTTAATAGAGACTGATCCCAATTTTCCCAGCAGAATTTCAACTAATTTTTACAAAACATCAAAATTTGGGATTTTGTTGTAAGTAGAGAAAGTTGTCGTCCCTGATTTCTATAATTAAAAACCTCTTGCAACGGGGAACCATTGCTACGAATCAAAGGCAAGTAATCTAAGTCTCGCTCAAACATTAGAAGCAAAGAGTTTAATAAAGCGTCTTGAAGCCTCAAAATCCTATTGTAATCCAATATCAAGCGTCTCTCAAAGCCCGCAATCACCATAATTAGGGTTTTAAATAAACAGTGTTTGATAATTTTTGGTGAATTCTTCGTATAATATTTGTTTATGCTCGTTTATTAAGCTAAATAAATGAGTATGAAAATTTTTTTTACGCTCATTTAATAAATTAATAAACACGAACAAATATGAATTCGTTCGTTTATATTTACAAACAAACTCGTATATCAACTCGTTTATAAGCTTACTTGTTGGCTTATTTATTCAATTCTCTTTTTCTAAGATAAATTCAACGCTCAAATTATTATGTAAGTACGTTTTCTCGTTTATAGGCGTACCTGAATTTAAAGGATGAAATCGACAATTAAAAGGTTAATATATTCTAAAGACATACCAATAATTCAGAATGATTGACACATGGACAATCGAAATAAACAAAAGAGCAAAATTATTATTATATCAATTACCACACACACAAAAAAATACCGAATGATATGAATATGTAATATATCAAAATTATAAAAATTTAAAATTAAAATATCAATGGATTCTCAATGATTCAACATGGCAAGACGATGATACCATCTGTTACAACCAAACCATAATAAATATAAAAGTTAATCAGGATCTATCATATCAAATCATCGAGAATAAAATAATAGATACGGAAGTGTACCTAAATTGATTGATAGATTAAAATTATTGAATCTTTCTTTGGTTGTAGTCTTCCAAGAAGACAGAGTTATCTTGAGTATAAACTTTCTGACAGAGATAAAGAGAAAATACGAGATTTTTTATTTTTGGGGACCATAACCCCTTTATATAGCTAATTGAAGAATCAATTATTATTTGTACTTATAATTTTGTCCCTCATCAAATTATAAATACAACTTTATGATTTTATATCATAATTGGTTATTTAATTTATATCATATTTTATGATAATAATATAAATTATAAATATATACTTATAATTATAGATTTTAATCCAACATCACTCACGACAAATCAATCAAAGGGGAGAAAAACACCAAAATCCAGAAACACTAAACTCGCTATTATGCGTCGAGGAAATTCTGAATTCTAGTGGGGTGAAATTAATTAAAAAACATGCTATTATTATTTCTTTATTTTTGTTGATATAGTTGTTGCTGCAATATATAGAAAATGTAAGTTTGAATATATTTAGGTACATAATATTTTCTATTTGATGATTTGAAAATTTTAGATAATTTATAAATATTATATAAAAGATCAATAATAAAATTGAATGTTTGAATAAAAAATAATTATTTAATTTACATGTTAAAAAATTATTTTTAATTTTTGATTGATTAAATTCACATGTTTAATGAATTCATATATCCAACTAAAAATGTTAGTTAATTCAATTAAAAATTAATAATAATAATTGAATTTAAAAGATAATAACTATTTATTCTATTTTTTTTATAAAAATGTAAAAGAAAAACAGATGCTTTATAGTCCCTAATATATAAACAAAAACTATTCAACACTACCAAGGAATATATAAGAGAAAAGATGAACCATTAATTTAATTTAATTTATAAAATTTAAATTCTAAAGGACTCAACGTATAATTAAAAATTAGTTAAAAATTTATAGATAAATTATTTACAATAAAGAATAAATTATACTAGTGACCACCTAATTATTGCCCTTTCATTTTGAGCAATATTTTTGGAATTTTGTCAATCAAGTCACTAAACTATTTAAATGCATTCAATTAAGTCGCTTTTTATTAATATTTAACGGAGAAGCTGATGTGACAATTAAAATATTTGGTATAATTACACATTTGGTTATTATTACTTATATATTCTATTAATTTGATCCTAATTTTAATAAATTAAAATAAACTTAACTCTCAAATCTTTAATTTTAAAAGATTTTAAAAGTTACGACATATTCTATATTTATAACAAAACAAAATTTTTAATAGAAATTCCATTTATGGTTCTTAGAAACATCTTGTAATGATACCATGATTTTAAGGAAAATATAGTTGATTAGCCCATATATATAAAGTTTGGACAAATTTTTATCCTACTACTATTTGTAAATGGCATTCTACTAGAAAAAAGTCATATAGTCTAACTTGTAAAACTAAGAAATTTTTATCCAGTAAATTTCTAATAGAAAAATGTGACATATATTTCTTTCACGTTTGATAAAGTCTTCCTTTAAAATTTTAGAAATTCATCTCTTACCATAAAATTTTATGTCCAACTTTGATAAAAGTTTTTACTGATAAGAATCTCGGTGGACTTATCATGGAAAATTTTGCACTAAGAGATTAATCTATATCAAAAGAGTGATAAATTTAGTTTGCTTTAAATTCAATATCATAAATTATTGCTTGAGTTATTCAATTTTTCAGAAAAAAGGTTTTGTTATAAATTTTGTTTTGTTATAAATATAGAATATGTCATAACTTTTAAAATTAAAATAAAAAGTTGAATTTTGGGTCATTATACATGGCACCATTTGATTTGAGGGTTAAGTTTATTTTAATTTATTAAAATTAGGACCAAATTGATAGAATATATATGTAATAGTGACCAAATGTGTAATTATATCAAATATTTTATAATGGCAAGTGGCTTAATTGAATGCATTTAAATAGTTGAGTGACTTAGTTGACAAAATTTTAAAAATATTGGTCAAAATAAAAAGGATCAATAGTTAGGTGGTTACAGGTATAATTTACCCTTTATTTTAAATAATTTGTATTTAATTTTTTAAGTAATTTATAATTATACGTTGAGTTCTTTAAAATTTAAATTTTTATAAATTAAATTAATAGTGTTCGTCGTCGAGCGTTGTAAAAGAAAAATCAAAACCACAATAAGCAAAATTAAGACCAAAAAAAAGGTAAAAATCCAACTAATTTACCAACAGTTTCAACAAAACAGTCAAAATTAAGAGAAAACTACTAATAAAAGCCAAACCATAAATAAACCGACAGCTAGTTTTACCCTTTCCACGTGCGCATCACGTGTCCCCCTTTCATATAAAAACCACATACGCTTCTCGAAAACAGCCATAACAAAAAAAAAAGGTTATCTATAAACTTTTCATTCAATGTTAAACATACCGTCACCGAGTGAATCCTCCGCCTTCACCAGCTCCGATCGGCCTCAAAAAAGACGACTTCAGCGGAATGCCCCGCCGTCCATCAAAATTAATCCGGTTTCGTCGTGGAACGTTGCAATCCCTCTGTTATCACCACTCGCTTCTTCGGCTCCCTCCTCGATCAGCTGCGTGACATCTGAGGAAAGGGAAGAGCCACCGCGTCAAGAGAAGCAGGTGACGGAACCTGAGAAGTTTGTGTTTAAGATGTGGCAGCATCCGGCGTCGCCGTTTTATTCTGAGTCGTCCCCTAAATTGTCTTCTTTTGTGCCGGTTTAGACGTGAACGGAAGGAAAAACGATATGTAAATAGACCAAACATTTAATGTAATTTTTTAGGGTAAACTACGTATCTAGAACCTAAATGATCAGTTTTAATATGTTTTAGTATTTTAACTTTCAATTTTTTTTAAAATCATACCTAATATTTAATTTTTATTTCATTCTAGTACCCATCGTTAAAAATGTAACACGTTTAGTACCTAAACTATCGATTTTATTCTATTTTAGTACTTAAACTTTTAATTTGTTTCAAAATTTAACGTTAAATTTTTAACAGGTGTGTTAAATTGAAACAAAAATTAAACATTAGATATGATTTTGAAAACAATTAAAAATTTAAGTACTAAAGCCGATCAAAACTGATAGTTTAAGTATTAAATATGTAATTTTCCTTTTTCTAATAACCTAACGTTTAATGTATTATCCTTATTTATTCATTCATTACATATATTATATGTATAATTTAGTAGAATGATTACATATCTTTTATATTATTTATTATGTTGTACGGTATGATAATTTCATGTCATTTTAAGTAATTAATATGTTTCCGAGATAGATACGAGAAGAGTATAATTTGGGTTTATATCAAAGATATTAGTGACGATGTTTGATCTTCAAGTGAGTATCTAGATTTTTTTAGATTTAGTTTAAAAAAGATTTTTTTAATAAGAAATTGAAGTTGATTTTGAAGACTAGAATATCAGCTTATTTACGATAAATTTTCGGATGTGATCCGAATATTTATGGGTTGAAATGTCTTTTTACATATAGACCGTCTTTCAATTACTTTCTAATGTGTCGGAACCGTCTTTCGGTTGGGTCCAGAATTGGGCTTTGACTTGAATTGATTGGGTTAGAGTCGCCACCGACCATCTTAAAACGAATTTAGGTGGGTCGGACACCATCTTACCTGATCTGCGTTGTACCAAAACGTGTCGAGCTCGGAGTCGGTTACCGTCAAGGAAGGATTAGCACCCTTGAACCGCCCTTTCGGTACCAATTAATTTTTTCGGTTGTCTTTAATTGCGAGAAAAAAATTAAAGTTTAAATTAAAATTTAAATGACTTAATTCGAATTACTTACCTTCGATTAGGTGGAATTTCTAAACAAATGGTCGAAAATGTTAGATAAAAAATTAAATAAATATTTAAATAAATCAAAGAAAAAACATAAGGATATAAAAATGTTAATAAATAAATAATATATAAAAATAGAACAAAGAAAATTATAATGAAATAAGTAAGAACATGAAGGACTAATCGATAATTAACCCTAAACTTTCATGCCAAATTAGTGACCAAAACGGAAGATACACAAATATAAGGGTCATGAAACTAATATCAAAAACTAAAATATGCTTAATAAATAAATATTTAAATAAATTAAAAAACTAATGGGCGTGATTAAAGTATGGAAAAGCTAGGGAATGTATAACTTTACAAAGCAATTGGGCCTCAAAAAATGAATTTGGATGCAACCGACCGACAGTCCATTATTCTATTTTTCTCAGCAGTCTCATCGTTTGTTTGTGTTCTAAACAATGTATTCAGCTTCGACGTCTTTGTTAGAGGAACCTTCAGAAACCAACTTCAAAAAAGCAAGGCCTTGGCACCGATGAAGGCTATGGCCAAGTGTTCGACAGAAAAAAGGGGTAAGCTTTCTTCAAATCTTTTCTCTTTTTCACTCTTCTTTTTTAACTTTCAAACGAGGCCTCTCTATTTTTTCTTTTTTCCCCTGTGATTTGTTCTCGATTCGAATACCCTCCTCTTGGTTCGAATGCTTTCCTCGGTATTTTCTTTGAATAAACTCTGTATTTTCGTATGACCCTGGTAATTTCCGAATCCCCCTTTGTTTGGTTGATATGTGCATATATATAATCTTGCGCCGGAGGATCCGAGAATGGTGGTGTGTTGCGTGAAAAGCGGAGAAGAAGCGTGCGACCGGGGAAGTCCTTGCTGAAGAGGAAAACGGAGCTGGATGGGTTCACAGGTTCATTTACCGGGCCACTTGGTCTTGTAAATGGGATAGGTGTAATGATTCTGAGCCCCATGTCTAGGCCTGTAAAAAGAAGGAAGAAAAGAAAAATGTAAATAATATATACATATTATATAATATATGCATTATATAATAAGGGCGAAATACGGTGTCTACAGCTTCCTCTCTTTGCTCATTATCGTGTTACAAAAATAGAGCAAATATTAAAAGATACCAATTTCGCCCATATCGAATGTCCTCTGTCGTAAAGTTGAAATCCGATATTGAAATTGGTTTGTTAATTTGGACTAAAATATGAAATGACTCCCTCGTCGTGAGGTTGAGTCGAAACTGGAAAATTCTGAGCATGAAATCCTTCGTCATGAAGTTGAAATCGAACTCAAGAAAGTAACTCCTGGATCGTCTTTAGCCCAAGATACTTCGTCGTGAAGGTGGAACTTGTCCTGAAGACTTCAGTGTTGCAGATAACTTCTTCGTCGTGAAGTTGGGTCCATCTTGAAATGAAATTGAAGCCGCAGTTCAGAATCAGAATGTGACTTCTTATTGCCAAACTGTAGTCCACTTCGGTCTTCTTCTTGATTTAAAGACCTTGGTTTAAAGATTTGACTGGAAAGTAGTTCTTTGACTCCAACATGTGATTGAAAGGCCCTCGATCTTCGTCGTGAAGTTGAAATCCAATGAAAGTTGTGCTATTTCGAGTCTAATATCCTTCACCGTGAAGTTGAAATTGGATCTGAAACTGGAAAGTTTATTGACAGACACTCATTCTTTGAGTTGGATATCCTTCGTCATGAAGTTGAAATCCAAATCTGGAGATGGATGTTGCTTGTGTGCACGATTCCCTTCTTCGTGAAGTTGAAACCGTTGATGGCCCCTCCGTCGTGGAGTTCAGCCTTGAATTGGATATTCTTTGCCGTGAAGTTAAAATCCAAGTATGTTACACTGCTCCGAGGCCAATATCCTTCGCTGTGAAGTTGAAATTGACTCTGAAACTAGAAAGTTTGTTGATAGACACTCCTTCTTTGAGTTGGATATCCTTCATCGTGAAGTTGAAATCCAATCTAGAGATGGATGTCGCTTGTGTGCACGATTCCCTTCGTCGTGAAGTTGAAACCGTGGGTGGCCCCTTCGTTGTGAAGTTGAGCATGGTAATTGGATATCCTTCGTCGTGAAGTTGAAATCCAAGTAAGTTGTATTGTTCTGAGTCCAATATCCTCCGCCGTGAAGTTGAAATTGGCTCTGGAATTGGAAAATTAATTGTTGACAGTCAGCCGCCCCTTCGCTGTGAAGTTGAGCTTGTGCTGTCTCGAGTCTAATATCCTTCGCCGTAAAGTTGAAATTGACTCTGAATGAAACTGAAAAAGTTGACAATCAGCCGCCCCTTCATTGTGAAGTTGAGCTTGTGTTGTCTTGAGTCCAATATCCTTCGTTGTGAAGTTGAAATTGGCTCTAAAATTGGGAAGCCCCTTCGTCGTGAAGTTGAGCCTCAAATGGCACGATATCCTCTATCGTGGAGTTGAAATCGTGGATGTGTGGGTACGATATCCTCCGTCGTGGAGTGAACTCGCGGATGACCCTGTCGTGAAGCTGAGCCTTGACTTGAATATTCCTCTTGAGTTGAAATCCAAGTATTGTATGTTGCGGTGGACACGATTCCCTTCGCCGTGAAGTTGAAACCGTGGATGACCTATTTATTTGAAGTTTGGCTTCGAGTTAGATATCATTCGTCGTGAAGTTGAAATCTACTCTCGAGCAAATTGTGTTGTTTCGAGTCCAATCTCCTTCGCTGCGAAGTTGAAATTGACTCTAAAAGCTGTAAACAATTCTAAGATGCATGCAACATGAATGAGTTATGTTTTATCTCTTGGATTGGAGTCCCGTGTTTTGTCTACCAATCTGATCCATGGAATCGATCATGCCCCATTTGCTTCTCGATCTTTGGCTTTACCGACCTTTCATATTTGAGACTGTCCTGTTTGAAAATATTTTTCTCTTTTTTCTTGTTTTAGGAGGGAAAAAGGATAAAAATTATGTAAAATATTGTTCGCAATTGAATCAAATTGTAAACATGAGTTCAAAGTATATCAAAGGAATCAATAGCTCTTTTTAATGCTTTCAGAGTTATAGCTCTTTGACAAATGTTCAAATGGATGAGTTGACTTCAGGTTGAGTTACTTTTTAAGGTTTCGGTAACCCAAAATGTCATTTTTTGAAATATCGCAACATGCTTTTTCTTTGGTGTGGCATTTTAATTGGGTGCAGACAAAATGACGCAACTAACATGATCAATTACTAGACCTTTTATTTCAGTCCTCTGAAATCTTCCATTTATTCAAGTTTTGTAAGTTTCTCTAACAAAGGTAGTGCAAAAATATCGGTCGAAAAATGAAATTCTTGAGTGCTCGTGTGTATTTGACTATAACAGGTGTTCCTTAACTCCCTTGGTCCATCATTACCGAAAATTTCTTGTTTAGATAAATTTGATTTAATTTTCCATTATCTGGCTAGCCAAATCCATAAAGCCAGGGCGTTTAACCAATTACTTTAGAGGGAAAGCTTAATATTATAATCACTTTTATCAGGTTAACTGAAGGGTTCATCTCATCACAAAGTCTTCAGCCTGACAATAGCAGTGGAGCAAACACCGAGTTGCCAAGTGTCTGAGCAATGTCATGGTTTGAACACAATCTATTCATAAAGCTAGGGCTTTCGAGTTTCCTCTATAACCAATTGCCTTAGCGGAATAGCTCAGTTTTTACGGATTTAATTTCTTAAGATTGTCAAGAAGAACCTGTTATAGCCTAAGTGTTGTTAAAAGTCAAGGAATCTCATCTTTAGAGTTTAATTTCCAAGCAACTGGCCTATACTAGATTTGCTTACTCGACTATTCCATCTGTGAAGATTATTATCATCACTGAATACCTTAAATAAAAAGTATAGTAATGTCATATGTAAAAGGATGCCTCATATTGTCCGCACCTTATGAAAGGAAAATGTCAC